GCAACCCAGCAGCACCCCAGCTGCTCTGCCCCAGGCGTCCTGATTCAGGTGCTGCTGAAACTGACCAGGGGCTGACTACAGGAAGCCCGAGGCAGAGTGCTCCGCGGCTTTGCTCCCGGTCTCCCTGCAGTCCAGAGAGACGGGGAGCAGCTTTTCTCGCCCTGGAGGATGGGGGCGGTGGGACTGCAGCTCATCTGGGCGTCCCGCCGCTCCAGTTCTCTGGGGCGAGAAAAGCCCCGTTCATAACTGCGGATCCGACATAAGTCGGATCCGCGTAACTCGGGGACTGCCTGTATTTATATCTGTAGCTTATTTATAGAGAGTAGCAATATCCCTTTTCAGCCTTCTTTTTTGATAAACTAAACAAGCCAAACTTTTCCAATATCATCTCATGGGACAGATACTCCATTCCTCGATCATCCTAGTAACTCTTCTCTGAACTTATTTCTATTTTAATTTCTTTCTTGAACAGGGGTGACTACAGTGGTACACAGTATTTCCTGTGTGGTCTTATCAGTGCCTTGTGTAGTAATTTTATATACTATATAGTGTAATAATTCTGCATGGCTGTTAGAAATGCCTCATCTAACACACCTTAAGAGCCCACTTGTTTGTTTCACAGCTGCATCACATTGGTGGCTCATAGCCCTCTTCTCTTCTCTTTTCTCTTCTCTTCTCTTCTCTTCTCTTCTCTTCTCTTCTCTTCTCTTCTCTTCTCTTCTCTTCTCTTCTCTTCTCTTCTCTTCTCTTCTCTTCTCTTCTCTTCTCTTCTCTTCTCTTCTCTTCTCTTCACTCTCCAACTGATGAGGCCCCAGTTTGTTACAGAAATTCTTCTTATTACAACATACGTGCATGATTTTGCATTTTATACCACTGAATTTCATTCTACTCCCCACTTTCTTTAGAACATCAGAAAGGCCATACTGGGTCAGACCAAAGGCCTGTCTAGCCCAGTATCCTGTCTTCCAACAGTGGCAATGCCAGATACCCCAGAGAGAGTGAACAGAACAGGGAATCAAGTGATCCCTCCCCTGTCACCCTTTCCCAGTTTATGATTAACAGAGGCTCAGGGGCACCATTCCTACCCATCCTGGCAAATAAGCAGGGCTCGACAAATACACTCACTTGCAACGAGTAGATTTCACCAGCTGGCGAGTGCAGGGGCGGATTGGCCCGGTGGGCTGTTGTGACGGGCTGGCTGAAGCCCTCATTATGAGCAGCGCGGCCCCATCCAATCTGCCGGCCAGTGGAGGAGCAGAGTGCCGCTGGGAAGGGGGAAGTGTGGCGACTCTCAGCGCCCGGCTGCCTGTGTGCAGCTCCAGCGCGAGGGGGCAGGGCACAAGCCAGAGGGCGGGACACCGGCAGATGCCAGGATGCTGGCGTGACGTGACATCCGGACGTCACGGCTGGTGACCATCGGATTCAAAAAGGCTCCGGCAACCCCACAAAGTGGAAGGCAGAAGCCGGGAAGGGGCGGGGCTTGTGCTGTGCTGTGCGGTGGGAAGGGAATGGAAGGGGAAAAATTGGGGAAGGGGCTTGTGCTGAGGGGAGGGGAAGGGGATGAGGTCAGGAGAAGAAGAAGAAAGGGGAAGGCACCAAGGGACGGGTGCAGGAGAGACAAACACCAGGGGGCCAAGTGCAGACAATGAGGAAAAGGGCAGGAGGGGAGGTGTCAGTGGGAGGGGGTACAGGGTGATGCTGGGAGAAGAGAGGGTAAGGAAGGTACTGGGAGAAGGCTTGGAAGAAGGGGGGCATGAGGAAGGCAGGGATGAAGCATGGCATGTGTGAGGGCACAGGGGCATGAGGGGAACGGGGCAGAGGATGGTGAGGGGGTCGGTATCAGGGAAAAAGGGGGCAGGGGCAGTGAGGGAAGGGGGAGGCACCAGGAGAGTGCAGGTGCCAGGGGATTCTGGGGGTTAAGCAGAAGGGCAGACACCTGCAGGGGTGGGACCAGCACCAGAGGAGAGAGGCTGGAAAGTTGGGAGGCACCAGGAGAGTGCAGGTGCCAGGGGATTCTGGGGGTTAAGCAGAAGGGCAGACACCTGCAGGGGTGGGACCAGCACCAGAGGGCAGAGGCTGGACAGTTGTGTAGAGGGAGGTGTTAGGAGAGGGATGAGTAGGGGTAGCTCACGTGATCAGAGTGCCTACTGGAGGAGTGGGCACTGGGGGGGAGAGAAGGGCTGGTGGAGGGGGGCAGGTCTCAGGAAGGCTGAGGGCAGTGAGAAGGGCAGGAGTCAGGACTGCAGAGGAGGGTCAGGGGTTGGGGTGCAGCAGGCACCAGGGGAGCTGATGGAGCAAGAGGAGGAGACATGGCAGCAGAGGGAAAAGGTAGAGGTTTATAAGATATTTAACAACTTGGGTGATATTTATTAATAACCTATTAGTAATTACTGTTCTTATTCTTATTAGGAATTTATGCCATTAAAAAAACACTTTTTTGGGGGTAGGGGTGGCAAGTCCCTTTTTTGTCTGGCAAGTAGGGTTTTCCATAATTTGTTGAGCTCTGCAAATATGTATTGATGGACCTAACCTCCATGAATGTATCTAGCTTTTTTTTTTTTTTTTTTTTTTTTTTTTTAAACCATGTTAAAGTCCTAGTCTTCACAACATCATCTGGCAAGGAGTTCTACAGGTTGACTGTGGACTTCGTGAAGAAACACTTCCTTTTGTTTGTTTTAAACCTGCTACCTATTAATTAATTTGGTGGCCTCTAGCTCTTACTTTGAGAACAAGCAAATTAACTTTTCAGTATTCATCTTTCTCCATACCTGTCATGATTATATAGACCTCTATCATATCCCCATCTTGGTCTCCTTTCCAGAGCACGCTTACTCAGGGGAACCAGGGGTGTATGCATTTGCACCCTCATGGTCCACATTTAAAAAAACATCTCACACCCCTACAGAAATTCCTGTGTATGGTCCTGACCTAGGGTTAAAGCCCAAAGGCTTCAGCCCCAGGCTCAGATTACAAGCCCCTTGTCTGAATGGAAGTCTTTGGCCTCTGGCCAAGGGTGGTAGAGATCAGGGAGACTTAGGCATCCAGCTCTCCTCCTGAGATCATGTAATAATTTTTGTTCTCAGAAGAGGATTGCAGTGCAGTGAAGTTTGAGAGAAGAAACCCCAATTTAAACAGCTTTCAAAAACAGCTCTTTCAAAAAAGACACACTAAATAAAATGCAACATTGTGTCTCATTTATTGTGTGTCCTTTAAAGTTAGATGCAGCAGTGTCATTTGATAGTTTTAAGACTCTTTTTGCAGCGCTGGAAAATTTTTAATTTTGGTCACCAGTTTATAATCTCTAAACATTCTCTAGATGCATTCCTTTGTCTGATCTCCAGTCAAGACTTTTTTCTCCCTCTTCTTGAGGAGCATCACAAAGCGAAGATGACTTTTTTTGTTACATCTTCTGCTCACTTGTATCTATTGTGTGTGTTACTTTTCCATGCGGATGGACCTGTCTTTTTTGGTGTGTGCGCGCGCGCGCACACACACACACACACACACATACAGAGTTTGGTCCAATAGATTTCTTTAATTCAGTAAATGAGAATTTTTTTTCAGAGGTGTAAATCAAAGCCTCTTATACAAAGAGGACAATGTTATATTGATCATCATGCATTATAATGCCCTGAATCACTGGAAGGTCTCCTATAACTATGAGAGAAGTTTAATGGATATATGGGAACTGACACCAGTAAATGACCCATGTCATTGAAAGTTGCTTTTAACATTGTGGCAATAGGACAGTCAAGCTGCTTGTGACATAATCAGCTGTCTTAGCGGGTTTCAGACTATTCATTTGGGCAGTACAGAGAAACTGCAAAGCTATTCTACCCCTCTCATTTCAGTTCCATAAATTTATAGAAAGAAAGAACAGGCTAACTGCAGGACTAGAGAATCATAGTAAGATTATTTTTCTTCTTTTCAGATTACGTTCATGACATTAATGTAACAGATCTTGTTCCTGGTACTAATGGGAGTAATAGAGGTAAGAAAAGCATAATAGTACCTCCACAATAAAATAACTCTATTACAGTACTGTACAACAATAACAGTATTGTTGTAGCCATGTTGGTGCAAAGATGTTAGAGAGTATATGGGGAAGGTACAGGAGAATGGATGTTGTTTGTAACTCTGAACAAAACATTATGGTTGTTCATTCAGTTTACAACTGAACACTGACCTAATGCCACTTTGAAATTTTAGTAGTCAGAAGTGAATGCTGCTTTCTCTGCCTGTTTTTTTTAGAAGTTTGCATTCAGCACAGTAGTGTACTGTACATACTTTTTTTTTTTCATCTCTACTGCGTATTTCCAGTTCCAAATGAGCTGTGTGCAGTTAACTGGTCAGTTTGCAACTCAGGTGTTCATAACTCTGAGGTTCTATTGTGATATTTTTCATTGGACCAACTTCTGTTGGTGAGAGAGAGAAGCTTTTGAGCTTACATAAAGCTCTGCTTTAGACCTGAAAAGAACTCTAAGTTCAAAGGTGTATCTCTCTCATAGCAGTTTGAGGGAAATCCCATGAGCCTGGCATTTATTTTCCAATAAATGCAGGAGAGCTGAGGGAACACTCAGCCCAACTCTGGGAGCCCTTTATCAAATATGTATGACCATAAGCTTCAGCTTTTATGGTCAATACACCATTCCAGGGAGAAGAGATGGAACTGCACAGAACATGGAGGGAGGGGAGAGAATGAGAAATAAGTGTATTGGGGAGGAGGCATGCCTGCTTCCGTCGGTGGTGCTGCAGGGTTTCTGGCTGTTGTGATGTTTGGGTGTGGCTTAGGGGTTTCTGGGTTCAGTGGGTAGGAATGTTGTGTGGGTTGAGTGGGTGCTGAGGTATATGACAAGGGAAATGGTGTGCCTCTCTTTGGGGTACTAGTGGTGGGAGGTTCCTGGGAAGAGGCTGAGACACTCTAGGGTCCTGTCACCTACTGTCCCCACCAGTCAGGCTACTTGCTGCTGTTGCTGTCACCCTTGTTGCTCTTGCAGGCTCTCACTATTGCTGCACCTTCTCCATTCAGATCGAATAGGAGGTACAGCCAGAGAGGCAGTCAGTGTGTCAGACTGCCTGAAGCCTTGTGCCACCATCTTCTACAGTGACCAAAAGTTGCAACTGCAGATTCTGCAGCCAGGCAAGACAGGGATGTCCTATGCTTGAGTAAACTTAAAAAACAACGAATAGCACTGGTAGCACTTTAAAGACTAACAAAACATGTAGATGGTATCATGAGCTTTAGTGGGCACAGCCCACTTCTTCAGATGACCAGAGTGTTGGATGGCTGTGTGTTGCTTGGCATCCCTGAATTCTTTTCTGCTAAACAGAGATCAAATCAGTAGGGACAAAAGCATTTTTCAAACGTTTGTGAAACAACAGGGAGAAAATAAATTGGAAAACAGTAATTAAAATTATTCTGCGTCCTCACTTTAGACATTATTTTGACTTTTCTGAAATTTAGAGTTTTGTCTTTAGGTTATTGTAACCTGGCAGGCATGCTGCCAGTGGGGGAGGAAGAGATTTACAGGGTACAAAGAATTCTGAAGTACGAAGGTATAATGGAGTTTAGGAAAACATTAGGACAGGTTTGTATTTCAACATAAGGCAGGAATTGCTCTCCAAGTGCACTTTGTGTTAACATTTTAAGTGTCCCCTGTTCTAGGTGTCTCATCCTCCATATTTTTTGGTGGCTATGGTTAGTGGCATATTGTTGATGTACCAACATGCATTAATTCAGGCATTTCCGATCAGCCTGTGATGGTTTTGTGCACATCTCAGAGTGCTACCACAAGTCACCTATGAGCAAAGCAGAACAGCAGCAGCTGAGCTGCTTGCCTGCTGCTGAGTGCTCCTGGTGGCAGAACTGACTCCCTTGGAGTTTCAGGTACTGGCAGTGTTAATTCATTGTGCAGCTTTCATATACACAAATCCCTGATCTTGTTTGTTTGCTTTTCAGTTATCTGTCCAGGTACTCCCAATGAGGATCAACAGGGCAACAAAAGTGGGATGTGGACAAAAGCAAACCATACTGGCTTTGAGCTATTTGAGGAGTGGTGGAGCAAATCACAAACTGTACCATTTTATCTGATTGTTGTTCTTCTGCCCCTTTTAAATTTTAAGTCTCCCTCTTTCTTTGCCAAGTTTAACATCCTAGGTAGGTAATAGCATTCCCGTATTGTTGGTTTATTATTAATCAAATACACAGCAAATCCATAAAACCTTCAGTAATTACCTCACTGTCAGTCGCCAGCTCCTTTTATTAGGCAGCCTCTTTGAAATATCTCCCAAGATCTCCAGTACTGGGTTGTTTGAATTTGCCTGAATGATCAGCCTATGCAAGGCAATTGGGTATTGCTGCTCCCTTGGGTAAATAGTTTTCATTGTATTTAAAGTTAATATTAAGTGGTTAAATGTGTATTGCTCTTATTTTCTATGTAAACAGCTAATATCCATACAACAACATTCAGCAGAATTTCAGTCCTCTCTTGTGTCCATGCTTGAAAATAGACTATCATTATCTGACTGCTCAAAACTGATACTTTATAGAACACTAAAAACTGAAACATTACATAGAATAACTTACAATGCAGTGCTATTCCTTTCTGTGTTGACTTTCTTTTTAAGCCTGAAAGAGCAATGGTTGAAGAATATTGTTACTGTGGATTTAAATTTGTGAATGTTTTGAGTCAGCAAATAGAGAGCTTATTTATGTCTTTAGTCCAGGCCAAGGCAAAATACGGCCTGTGGGCCGGATCCAGCCCACGGAGGCAGCGGGGAGCCCCAGGTAGACTTCCCTGCTTGCCTCACACGCCTTGCAGAAAACTGGCTCCAGGGCTCTGTTTCTATTTTGAAACTGGAGTGGAGGGGGTAAATTTTAGGAGCTGCCAAGCCCCCAGCACATTTCCATTGGATGGTTTCTGGCAGAAACCAGTCAGTGTGAGTTGCTTGTTAGAATAACATGCAGCTAAGAAGAATCATACCCCCTGTCCTGGGCTCAGTTATTCATGAAGCACGTGGCCAGGCAACCAGGCTGGCTGGCTGAGAAACATTTTAAACTTGGCTGGCAGGCAGGCAGGCATGCTAGTTTGTCAGCTGACAAGTAAGTCAGTCTTTTGGCCACAGCCTGCTTCTGGCACCCTAGCCCTTTCCTGCCCCAACTCTGCTCTACCCCACAACACACCCAAACCCTCTGTTCCCTCTTACACCCATACCCCCTCCCAGATCTGGCACTCCAATCTCCTGCCCCAGATCACAATCCTCTCCTACCCTAGGTCATACCCCAAACCCCTGCACTGCAGTCCCCTGCCCTAAGTCTCAACCACCTGCTTCATCCCAACTCCCTCCCAGACTCCAGTCTCCCTCCTGCACCCCAGTCCCTTACCTCGAGCTCCCTTCTGCACCCAACCTCCATTCCAGACCCTGCATCTCCATTAATATCATGGAAGAGTGTGGCCCTCAACCACTTTCCTAAATCTTGGCGTGGCCCCTCCATCAACAATTATTGCCCACCCTTGTTTTAGTCCTACAGAAACCTAGGCCAATTTAGCATGTTAGAAGATTGTGCAGCATATTAGCTTTTAAATTGATCTCCATATTCAGAACTTCTTATTGAATTCCTTCACTTGTTCTTTTATGTTCAGTGACTGAATCATTCCCTTCATTTATTTTATTACCTTGAAGATAGCACTTGGCTGGAGTAACGTGTTCCTACCTGCTCAGTCTGTTTTTTAAACTATACAAGTCCTGCATTCTTCTCCCCTGTCCCTGGCCCCACCCCCACATATATATATTTAAGTATTTTCTCTGATGTCCATCACTGTAGCATCAAAGTACATCCCAATTATATAGCATTAAAATAAATGGACAGATTACCCACAATCTGAAAGATAATTATTACTGTCCTTCTTTATAATTTTCTTGGGTTATTTTCCCCTTCTCAGACTTTGAGAGCCAGAACAGCACGCTCTTTCAATTGTAGTCACATTAAAGCTTTACACTTGGCATTGTTATCCATCTCTGATCACTAACATGGTTCACCTGAGTTAGTAGTCTGGACATGACAGGATCCATATTACATCATTCTCAGGAGTCACAGCACCCACAATTATGCTCCATGTACACACAGAATCATATAAAAATCAAAGGTCACTGCTGCTAGTCAATCCTGATCTTACTAAAGAGTTTGCACAAATTGCCGTCTTGATAAACTTTCACCCAAAGGCCAGCAACTAAATGGGTATAGAGCAAGTTACTTTGCACTACTAGGATAGTTCCTACAGGCACACTGGAGGAAGTTGGTTGGTAATCTCATTCTGCTCCTGCCCGTGCTGTGGATAATTGGGTACTTGAATTTCCAAGGTTATTAATCTCTGCACCTGTTGAGGGCACTAGACTCCTAAAATTTAAATAAATGGATGGTACAGTGCAGCAGCTCTCTTTTTAGCTTTGTAAAAAGGAAATTTGGAATCTCAGAATTAGTGTTTAAAAATTCAGATTGGCCTGCAGTTTTGGGATTAAGTACCCCCAATTCTTTGAGTTGGTGGCAACTAATTAGATGGGGCCAATATAGAACGGAGCATAAATAATTTTCTATAACAATTTAGCCTAATGATTTGTTTGTGGGTTGTAATTTTTTTTTCTGTGTGTAGGTACCATTTCAGTTGTCTACTTAGTTTTTCTTGTTACTCTGAAGGCTTCACATCTGGGATTCCATTTAGAATTCAACTGGTTAACCGCGAATGAATTTTTTGTACCAGGTAAGTATCTAAAATTAAACACCGTGATTAATTTGAAGCATGTATGTGGTGTTTTGAATCTTTAAAACATGTTAAATCTTCATTATTATCCTCGCAACACTCTTGTGAGGAACAATAGGTAAGTAAATGTTGTTTGCTAATGCTGCCAGAGACTTTGGGGAACACTGGACTTACTGGTGCTTCCTGAAGGTTGAGTAACAATGGTACAGGGAACCAGGAGTTGAAGGCTATTCAGTGCTTGGTACCTGCATGATCTGGCACATAAAAGAAAATGTGATTCCATCCCTCCTGTGTGCTGGAAAATGCTGACTTCACTTTTTCCTATGATTCATTCTTAAAATAGTGCTCAGTAGTCAAACTTCTAAAAGAGAGTGATTTCATAAAGTGTAGCATGTACTCCACTAATTTCTTGTATGGTATTCATCATCATATGTCCAAATGCACTTCACCTTTACTCTCTGCTTTCTCCTGGTCCTCAACCTTTAGCCCTGAATTTGTAAACTCCCATTAACTATCGTATACTTTTCTCTGTTGCTGGCAACATTGGTTGCAAATTTTTTAAGGGATATTGCATTTCAACATATGGCTGTCACAAACACAAGGATGTATCATCACTGGATAAATGGTGTAGGAGGCTATTCATGAAAGAGAAAAGATTCTAGTGGAGAATAAATGGCATCTATTTCTTGGGTAAGGCTTGGGAAGAGAATCTAATATTCTCTCTCTCTTCCTTTACAAGAGGAAGCATCACATGGGAGCTCTGAAAGGTGGTATGCCTTATTGGATCATTGTGATTTTCTTCTAAGAATGGGGGAGTAATTTTACCTTTCATTAATATTTAATTATTGACTCAAGCATATTATGAAGCTCTGAGGTATTCATCCATCTGGTACATTTGTTTTCTGTTATGGAAGAAAAAATGGAAATCCACTTACTGTATTTCAGAAGAAAGAAAAATATGTATGTTTCCCAGTCGTGATACAAATTACACCACCACCTTTACAAATGCAAAACTTGGCTATTGTTACAAGTGAACTAAGAAAAATGACCTGAAGAGAAGAAAAAATATGGGAAAGAAAAAATATGGGAAAAAATTTTGAATTTATATAGTAAAATAAAAGAGAACTAGAAGATGGGTGGTTCAACAAATGATGGGCAGAGGTGGAATCTGTGTCTCAGTGAAATTAAATAGCTGCCATTACCACACTACATTGTTCACTTCCTCCATTAGGATGTTGATTAGGAACGTTAAATGGTTAACTGGTAAACATGAAGCTTAATGGTATTCTTACCAGTTAACTAGCCCTTGCACCAGCAAAATCCAGCAGTAGCCAACCACAGAGGGGCCAGCAGACCAGGTTGTGGAACATCATGGTGGGGGAAAGGGTGCAGGTCCTGAGTTAAAATGGCTAACTGGTTAACCATTTTAATATCCCTAGCTAAGATCAGTGATCAGTCAACAAGCCATAAACAAGGAAAACACCATATTGGTTTAAAAAAATGGTTTAGAGGTAAAGGGAGGCCAGGAACATGGGAGCTCTGAAAGAGTTAATTTCAATATAATTAACTATATTTTGAAATTAACTCTTTTCAAACAAACAAAAACAGGGAAGCTGAGGATGATGAATATAAATTAGAAGCTAGGAATTGTGGAAAGTTGATAAGGGGAACAAAGGGACAAAAGGAGAGATCTATGGCCAGCAGAGTTATGGACAATAAGCAACAGTCTTTTAAGAAGTATGTGGGAACAGAAAGAATATTAACAATGGTATTGGTCCATTACTACATGGAAATTGCAGAATTATCAATAATGCAGAGAAGGCAGAAATATTCAATAAATATTTCTGTTCTATATTTGTAAAATAAACAGAATATATAAACATGTCATATATGATATATATATTCTTTTCATTCCACTAGTTTTTCAGGAGGATGTTAAAATAGTAGCTACTGAAGTTAATATTTTAAAATCAGAAGGTACAGAGCAATTGTGTCCAAGAATTTCAGAAGTGCTGCTGAAAATCTTTGGACCATCAGTATTGATTTGTCCATAAGTCTTAGAATTCTGAGTAGTTCCAGAGGTTTGAGAGAAAGCTAATGTTTGCCATTATTTAAAAACATAAATGGGATGACCTGGGTCTCACAAGTCCCTTGCAAGATAATAGAATGGTTGATACAGGAGTCTATTAATAAATTCAAGGAGGGCTATGTAATTGATGTCAATGAACATAACTGTATGGGAAACTGATCCTAACTAACTTGATATAATTTTTTTTAGGATATTATAAGGTTTACTGATAGTTAACAGTACTGTATTGATGTGATACCTTGTGCAAGTCCAAGTCTATTTGATTTACTACCATAGAGCTTATTTGATTTTTTTTTAAAAAACTATAACAGTATAAATTTAATGTGTCATATATGAAATGGATTAAAGGTTGGTTGATAGGTCTTAAACTGTAATCCCAAATAAGGAATCATCCTCGAGCTGATGTGTTTCTAGTAGGGTCCCTCAGGGGTCTGTTCTTGTTTCTAAGGTTTTTTTTCCCCCCTAGGTCATTGTTATTTAAGATTTTGTTATCAATTAGTGACATTTTTGTGTTTCAATTTGACACCTAAATTGGTGAAGTGGTAAGTAATGAAGAGGACAGGTCATTAGTATAGAGCAATCTGCATTGCTTCATAAGCTGAATGGAAGCAAATGCTATGCATTTCACATGGCTAAATGTAAATGCCTACATCTAGAAAAAAGAATATAAGCCATATTTACTGAATAGGGACTCTACCCATGGAAATAGTGACTTCGACAAGATTTTGGGGTGATGGTAAATAGTCTACTGAACATGGGCTGCAGTAACGTGCTTTAACTAAAAGGACTAGCACAATCATTGTGGCATGAACCGTGGACTCTCAAGTAGAAATAGGTAGAGGTTATTTTACTTCTGTATTTCGCACTGGTGTGACTGCTGCTGAAATACTGTGTCCAGTTCACATGTCCACAAATCAAGGAGAAGGTTGAAATTAACTCTTTTCTGAACTCTCTCCATGAGACTTACTAAAGGATTAGAAAGCAATCCTTTAGAGGTTGAACCTCTGAAATCCGCAAGCCTCTGATTTGGCAACATCCTTGTCCCTGAAGAGAGCCCCAGCTGGCCAGGTTCAGGAGCTGCGGTGGTGTGGAGCACAGCACCAGCTGGGACTGGTGGTAGAGAGCACAGCCCTGCCCAGTAGCACAACCCTGGTGGCAGTGGGGCTGGCACAGCATGGAAAGCAGCCCTACCCAGCAGGATGCAGCAGTGCTAGCAACCAAGAACACAGCCCTGGCCAGCAGTGGCTGACAGCGAAGCGCAGGCCAGGTCAGCATAGCGGGGAGCATAGCCCTGCCTGGACCAGAGGCAGCAGGACCGGCACCTGAGAGCGCAGCCTGGACTGGAGCTGGGGAGTAGAGCCCCAGGCAAGATCAGCACTCTAGGAAGCACAGCCCCAGCAGGGTTTGGGAGCAGCAGGCCTAAGGTGAGGATCAGAGCCAACAGCTGGCAGGAAGCCTTGATCACGGTCCAGCAAACTCTGTTGTTTGGGAATGCTCAGGTCCTGAGAGTGCTGGATCAGAGAGGTCCCACCTGTAGTGATAGATTCCAGGTGCTCAATCTGTTTAATTAAACTAATAGAAGGTGTGATTTAATTACAGTTTATAAGTATTTACAATTGGAACAAATATTACTGGTGGGATTTTCAGACTAGCAGAGAAAGGTGTACCATGATCCAATGGTTGGAAGTTAAAACAAGACAATTCAAACAGGAAATAAAGTAGGCATTTATAACAGTCGAGTAATTTAATCATTAGAACAGTTTACCAATAGTTGTGGTTGGTTGTAGATCACGGTCTTTTAAATCAAGAACGGATTTTTTTCTAAAAAGATATGCTCTAGAAAGGATTTTGGGACAGTTCTATAGCCTGTGCAATTGCTGTACGCAGGCTAGGCCTATAGCTGATCCGTAGGGTGAGTTCTCCTGGGCAGCTACAGGTGGAAGTAGGAGTTTTTTGCAGCACTGGGTTATTGGGCATTCTGCACCAAAAGGCTTAGAGCCAGTGAACCAATTTATCAGTCTGTGGAAAGACACTTTGCATAGATGGAATTAATGAATAGACAAATGCTTTTAGAAAACGTGCTCATTGGTAAAAGCCAAATAAAATCACAAAATAAATGTTACTGTAACATAAGGAAATAAATGCTTGACTTTACCCAGGACAGCTTGACATATAGTGCAGTATTTCCATCAAATCTGCTACAAACTTCCCTGGAATGTTTCCACAGCTATGTTGGCTGACTTACTGCTGGAGGTGAAGAGTCTTGCAAAGAAAGCTAAAGTAATAGACATTATTGGAATAAACTCTCTACCATAGTACAGCATTATCGAAGTATTATACAGCCACAATTTCTGTGGTGGTGTGTGTGGATTTACTTAAATTTAGAGGGTATGTCTACACTGTGGGACAAGGTTGAATTAAGATACACAACTTCAGCTACATTAATTGTGTAGCTGAAGTCGAACCTTAACTTGACATTTGGTGGTGTCCATGCTGCAGGAAGTCAAAGGGAGAGCACTCGCCCTTTGACTTCACTTCTTCCTTGTGGCAGCAGGGCTACCAGCATTGACCAGAGTGCCCCTCTCAGTTTGAATTAGCATGTCTTCGCTAGACCCGCTTATTCATACTCTGGAAGATTGACAGCAGCAGCTTTGATTTTCCTCTGTATAGACATACTCAAATTGAAATGGCGTAGAAGGTAAGAAACTAGGCAGCTTGAATAGTATGTTCTGTGTATTCCTGGCTAAGAATACTGCTCTAACATCAGTTTTCTAGCTAGTACCTAGTCACTAATATTTGTTCTTTAATGTTTCCATGAATGGAGGTCAGTGGTATCTGTTTTTGGAAGGAGAACCTGAGTGCCAGACAACAAAGGGGTACATGGGTTAAGTAGTTCCTTTATCTTAGCCAAAATAATTTTCCTTTCTTATTGCAACGCTCACCTTCTGAGATGATGAATTCTTGCTGGTTTCAGCTGTACACAAGACCAGAACATAAGCCTTTAGGGTGTATAAGCGGCAAGAATGAGACTGTGAATCTCAAGATTCTGAGAGCATCAACACACAAAGCACCATGTCAGTGATATCGAACCTTTTCTCTTAAAAATAAAAGCAGCAGAGGGAGAGAGACTGGGAATGAAGGGGTAAGCCAGTTAGTTTTATTTGTCTCAGGTAAAACAATTTGCACTCAAAGCATTTGATTCCTGACCTCTATATTAATGATATATATATCTGATGGTATAACGTTATTTCCTCTAACAGATGGAATTCAGAGTAATATGCTTGCTTGGGCCACTCAGAGTCAGCTGATGAGACACAAAGCTTATGTCTTTGCTCTGATGCATGACTTGTATAGATAAGATGGACTGCTATCCACACTTCCAGAAGTTAGGCCTTGGAACTTTTCCCTTAGTAAAATCCCTACAGTAATATGTGTGATTAAAATGAGTCCTAAAATAATTGGTTTCCAGCTAATGGTTGGTAAGTTTCCAGCAATAGCTAGTTTCTAGCTGGCTAATGAAATTAATGATGAAGTGCTATAGTTGGCTGCTTCTTGACAATCTCAGACAGTGAGAATACAGTGAGGCTAGGGTTGCAAACCATATATATAATGTACATGGTGTATCATGGAGTTCAGATGAAATACAGCCTCTGCTCTTGGTCTCTGAGAGACCTCAAACTGAGCTTTGTCTGAAAACCTTCTTTGATTTCAAATTGCACCAGCAAACAATCTCAAAATGTTCAGTGCGCTCATGAATATCCAAAGAGGTCAAAAAAAGTTCATCTCCAAATTTCCTGAGAAGTCTGGATGTTAACTAGCTGTAGTTTGTTTGAATTTTGTTAACAACCATAGGGCAAATGTGAAACTAGACTGGTTTAAAGTGCACTTGAGGTTCAGGTCTAATGTTCTATTGAGCAGCTTCAGTATAGATTGATATATAGCAATCCATAGTGCAGTATGTGGTCATAAGATGTTGAGTGTTCAGCTCTTATGAATACAGGCAGTCCCCGGGTTACATACAAGATAGGGACTGTAGGTTTGTTCTTAAGTTGAATCTGTATGTAAGTCGGAACTGGCATCCAGATTCAGCCGCTGCTGAAACTGACCAGCAGTGGCTGAATCAGGACGCCTGGGGCAGAGCAGATGGGGTGCTGCCGGGGTGGTCCAGTAGCGCCAAGGAGCGGCGCTACTGGAGCAACCCAGCAGCACCCAAGCTGCTCTGCCCCAGGCGTCCCCAAGTCAGCTGCTGCTGAAACTGATCAGCGGCTGATTCCAGGAAGCCCGGGGCAGAGCAACTCTGCCTCAGGCTTCCTGCTGTCAGCCGCTGGGTAGTTTCAGCAGCGGCTGAATCAGGACGCCTGGGGCAGAGCAGATGGGGTGCTGCCGGGGTGGTCCAGTAGCGCCAAGGAGCGGCGCTACTGGAGCAACCCAGCAGCACCCAAGCTGCTCTGCCCCAGGCGTCCCCAAGTCAGCTGCTGCTGAAACTGATCAGCGGCTGATTCCAGGAAGCCCGGGGCAGAGCAACTCTGCCTCAGGCTTCCTGCTGTCAGCCGCTGGGTAGTTTCAGCAGCGGCTGAATCAGGACGCCTGGGGCAGAGCAGATGGGGTGCTGCCGGGGTGGTCCAGTAGCGCCAAGGAGCGGCGCTACTGGAGCAACCCAGCAGCACCCAAGCTGCTCTGCCCCAGGCGTCCCCAAGTCAGCTGCTGCTGAAACTGATCAGCGGCTGATTCCAGGAAGCCCGGGGCAGAGCAACTCTGCCTCAGGCTTCCTGCTGTCAGCCGCTGGGTAGTTTCAGCAGCGGCTGAATCAGGACGCCTGGGGCAGAGCAGATGGGGTGCTGCCGGGGTGGTCCAGTAGCGCCAAGGAGCGGCGCTACTGGAGCAACCCAGCAGCACCCAAGCTGCTCTGCCCCAGGCATCCCCAAGTCAGCCGCTGCTGAAACTACCCAGCGGCTGACAGCAGGAAGCCTGAGGCAGAGTTGCTCTGCCCCGGGCTTCCTGGAATCAGCCACTGATCAGTTTCAACAGGCTGAATCTGGACGCCAGTTCTTACATACAGATTCAACTTAAGAACAAACCTACAGTCCCTATCTTGTATGTAACCCGGGGACTGCCTGTATGTCTGCAAAGATAAGTATGCCAACGATATAGCAACTTTGGCTGATGTCATTATGGTGGGAAGGATAAAATGCTGAGTAATGAGCGGTTTTGAATCTGCCAATGTGGTTTATTGTTAGAATTAAAGTAGTGGGAATTAAAACTAAAGTGAGACATTGTTTTCTATTTGTTAGCATTGGTACTGCATCAGTGCTAATAAAATATTTAAAGACAGAGAAGCCAGCATAATGCTGTAGAGATAGACAAATGTTCTATTCTCTTAGACCAGCTGTCTCTTTGCTAGTATTTGTGGTATACAAGCCAAAATGGTGCTTAATGATGTTCTAGCATAAGTGAATTAGCACTCTGGCACTAAAAGCAACATTGCTGTTTCCAGAGGAGGTAAAGACATTTGTTGACTGGTGCCCTTTATATTCTCCCGGTTGAAGGTATCTTGATATTTTTTTCCTAAGCCTTTGTTTTGTAAACAATCATTTGACTCCCCTCTCTTCTAAAAAGCAATAGAGATATCACTTGTCTTCCTAAAAGTGAGGGTCAGCAGCCTCCTTCACAATTGGTCATTGGTGATGCTCTGTGTATTGACCAACAAGAGGCTATCACACAACAGACAGCTTTTCCTGGCCGCCGCCATCGCTGGTACAGATGGAGTTTCTCCAAAATGAGTTTGCCTATCAAGGCATTGAACTGCTCTCTTGAGAAATAGAAAAATGTATATTGTTTAAGTCCTGGAATAACAAGACTTCTAAGTACGGCAAGTTAGGAAGAAACTTTTCTGCATAATATGTTTATAAACAGTTGGCTTTTACTGGGTATTTGCTCCTTCTGCTGAAGCATCTAGAAATAACTGCTGTCAGAGACAAGTTACTGAACTAAATGGATGGCCTGATACAGAATAGCAATTCCTACATTCCTGTCATCCAGAAATAAACTTTGGAAATGAACATTTTGGCAGCTGTTGTTTATTTCACTGATAGAAATAAAAAACTAATTTTTGTTTTGTTTTTGTTTTCCTAGAGTTTAGAATTCAGTTTCCTCAGCTCACAGGGGTCCTGACACTTGCTTTCTTCATTCATAACTGTGTTATCACTCTCCTTAAGAACAACAAGAACCAGGAAAACAATGTAAGTAACTTCATGAGAAATTATTCATTTAAAGATGATAGGCCACACTAATGCTTCCTTGTTGGACATCTCTCAAAACGGATATGGAGGCTGTTATAGGTGCAGAACACAGATATCGCTTGTTTTTTCCGGTAAGTGTGAGGGAGTAATTTATGTGTGTGTGTTTGCCACTGCCTGCTGACACACCAAAAGCGCATTTGTAAGTGTCACTCCAGTTTTTCATTCTAGAGCAATTAAAAAAAATTGTAATGACCTGAATCAACAGTATGCACCCTTTTAGTACTATGTTGGTTAATAACTACTCAATTCTTCTCTTTGAATTGGTGTTCGTTAATACAATGCTGTTTGTTAATGCTGACAGATTCAAAGAGATTTATTAATTGTGAAGCTATTAACCAATATAAAGGCATTTGGGGACATATTGTAGACTTGTATAACTAGGATTTCTATGTTGGTGAAACTGCAGCTCAGAATAGCACTTCTGTGTATCCAGAGGTCTAGTTACCCAAATATTTCAGCTGTGCCCCAGGCATTTGGATAAATGAGAGGGTACTGTCACTGAAATGTAATCAGGCTTTTCAAATTTATTTGCTGTCAATTTGACGACAAACTGTCAAATTTCAACCAAGAAGATACAAGTTTGACATCTTAAAGGCTCTAAAAAAATCATTTAAAATGAAAACACTTGAGCAGCCTTAACTATAATTATCATTATGTCCAGAGAATTGAAGTATGGTATTCACAACTAAATGCAATTTCCCCAGAGTTTGGTGTGTTCAGATTCAGGGCTCCGGGACTGGCAAATCAAGATCTTCCATGAAAATGTAATTAGCCTGGCATCACAAAATAGATAAATGTTCAGCTGTGGTTGAATCTCTGACTTGATAGCTTAGAAGTGGAGTTGAAACTGTCCCTAGGTGTACAAGATACACAATAAGATCACCTGCTATTTAATGATCCTAGCAGTACCTTCTTAGGCACATTGTGGTAAGTCAAGGATTGATAGCAAAAAAAGTAAACTCCTTTAGGCAGGGCCAGACCTTTTCTGTTTGGGAAGCATCTGGAATGTTATGGTGCTAATGGTAATAAATTTAATTAATTAAAAGCTGGGGTCCTGGAGAAGGAAACTTGCTGAGTTTTCTCACATTCTTCCATTATGGAAAGAGGCAGGATTTTCCCTCCCATCATCAAGAGAAAGTCAGTAATTTTGGCCAGCCAACACTGTGGATCCCTCAGGAAACCAAAGTTGTCTGTGTGGAGGGGACCTGATGCCTTCACACAAGCTTCTAGGTCTCCCCTGTGGTTTTCCCCTCTCACTGACGGTGCAGCTTTGTTTGATTCCTCTGCTGACTGCAGCATGAGGAATGCCTTCTTTAACTGTATAAGGAAGCAAGGACTGTATTAACTTTTCCAAAGGTTTTTCCATGGGTTTGAGGAGGGGAAAGGGGGGAAGAATGTGTATACAGACCAGCACCACACTGATCTCAGATACTCCCCCGCCTCCATTCCCAAACCTATTGTAGGACTCCTGGGCATCAGTCAGTTCCACTGTTTGCTGTTTCACCATTTCCCCTCCTTTCATGGGGAGGAGGTACAGTTAGAACCCATTGTCGTGCATGGTTTCAGGGGAACAATCTAGCCCACAATCTCTGCCTTGGTTATAAAGTGCATTGCTTATATAAGCTCAAATAATATCTTTAATCCATCAAGGCTGTATTCTTAATTTCCGTTGATACAACATTGAGATCTTTGGATGAGAAGGTACCATAAAACTCAAAGCACTTGTTAGACATTAATTAAGCCTGAATGCTTCTGTGTAGCTGATGCATCTTTTAATCCAGCCAGCGGTCAACAAGCAGAAAGAATGTATCTGTTGTTAAGTGCTAGCTTGTGCTAAATGTTCCTGACCGTAGTGGTAACTTTTACAAATTTGCCCTGAAGAGATTTTCAAAGATAATCAGAGAATTTACACCCTGACTAGTTTTGAGACCAAGTTTTCATGGGCTCATGTGGAAAGTTCATTTTTAACACAGCCAAACCCATTTTTTCCCTTGAATCCTCTTTTAATGAGGAGTCTGTGAAAAGGCACAAGTGCACAAAACTGAAGTGTGTTATAATATAGGATCATAAAATTGGAGAAATGTAGGGCTGGGCTGACCTCAACAGGTCATTTGCTCCATTTCCCCTTTGCTGTGTCAGGATCAAATAAACCTAGAGCCTCTCATGATAGAAGTTCCATAACCTCCCTTAGCTACATATTCCTACACTTTTAGTTTAGCTAAACTTTTAGTTAGACAGTTTTCCCTAATCACTAGCCTAAATCTCTCTTGCTGCAGGTTAAGCCCCAATACTACTTGTTCCCCTTTCAAGGGTAGATGGAAAAGAATTGGTCACTATCCTTTATGTAACAGCCATTAATACATTTGAAGACTCTTATCTGGTCCCCTCAGTCGTCTTTTCCCAAGATTAAATAAGCTCAGTGTTACAAATCTTTTATCATTTTATTACTCTCCTTTCAGCTCTCTCCAGTTTCTCCACATCTTTCCTAAAGTGTGGTGTGTAGAATTGAAGCTTCACCGTTGCCAAAAAGGGTGGGAAATTTAGCTCCTGTGTCTTAAAAACTACACTCCTATTAATGCACCCTGGAATTATATTGGCTCAGGTTCAATTTATGATCCACTATAATCCTCCAATGTTTTTTCAGCAGTACTACTATCCAGCCAGATATTCCCTATTCTGTATTTGTGTGTTTGATTCCCCCCCCCCACACACACACACTTCTGTTCCTAAATACAATCGTTTGCACTTAGCCTGTCACTTACCTCTTCTCTCAACATTTGTTTGCCTCAAGGGGTCCTGAAGAGAGGTGCATAGAATGAGCATGTAACCTAGACCTTAGAACAGAGGTCTTCAATCTGTGGGGCATGGCCCTCTATGGGGGGCACAGAGTAACATTTAGGGGGGGGTCTGGGATCAGCCTCCCACCGGGGCAGGGGGGAAGGAGCACTGCCCAGCTCTGCTTCAGGCCCCGCCTGCCCAGAGATCGACTCCTACCCCCTGCTCCCAGCTATGACCCTAGCTGCCCACCCGACTCCATGGGAGTGGGAGGGAATAGACAAGGGAAACTCATGGAGAGCGAGAGAAATCCTGGATGATTGGAAAAAGGCAAATGTAGTGCCCATCTTCAAAAAAGGGAAGAAGGACAATCCAGGGAACTACAGACCAGTCATCCTTACCTCAGTCCCTGGAAAAATCATTCCATTTTGAAGCACTTGGAAGAGGGGAAAGTGATCAGGAATAGTCAACATGGATTCACCAAGAGCAAGTCAAACCTGACCAATTTGATTAGCTTCTATGATGAGGTAACTGGCTCTGTGGATATGGGAAAGTCAGTGGATGTGATATACCTTGACTTTAGCAAAGCTTTTGATACTGTGACTCAGCGACCAGGAACAGCTAACAGGAGAGTTTGGAGAGGGAGTTCTCCAGGTAAAAGAGGTGTAAAAACGGGACCCTTGTGGTAAGTGGCTGTCTGGAGTGTGTGTTTGTGTGTGGGGGAGTTATTTGCAGTGTGCTGAGCTTGTGTTTGTCTGTTTGGTTTGTTTGTTTGTTTGTTTGTTTGTTTGTTTGTTTGTTTGTTTGTTTGTTTGTTTGTTTGTTTGTTTGTTTGTTTGTTTGTTTGTTTGTTTG